CACGTCGAGGCGATGGAGAAGGCTCAGCCACTGCAGCCGGACTGAATGGAATTTTTCGATTACAGTGGTCCCTCGGTTAACAAGCACAATCCGTTCTAGAAGGTTGCTCGTTAACCGAAAAACTCGTTAACCGAAACCATTGTTTCAGTGGGTTTTTGGGTAATTGGTTCCAGCTCACCGAAAATTGACTAAAGTCAACAAAAAAGGTAGAAAAGTACACTTACTTTGAGGTGTGTATGTAGAAGGCTCCTGGATGGTGATGATGATGATGGGAATTAGAATGGGGGTGGAGGAGAAGGGAGAAGAGAAGGCATAGGGGAGGAAGAGAAGTCACCCCATGGTGCCATTTCACCCATAAAATTTTAGTTCTCTCGGTGTAATTCAAGATTATTTTCTTTAAATCAACACTGCACTGCATTATATATTGTCAATATGTAAAATAAATTTCAAAATGACCAATAATTTGCTTGTAAACACAGAAAAAAAGCGCTTAGTTGAAGAGAGTCTCAAGCAAGATGTTACCTCCACTGAAAAGACACAAAGACTGACGCCTGTATGGTGTGTTGAGAGGCTGGATGGTGCGCATAAAACTAGTTTCATTACCTTCAATTATGTTCAATAATTGTTAAAATTACTAAAAAATTTAATATTAAAATTTTAAAATTATTGAATAGTATAAACTTCTTGAAATTTGCTGTATTGGCGGACTAATACTACAGCTGGTGGACCGCCAAATGCAAGCGAAAACATGTTCAGGTCGGCTCGTAAGAAACTCGTTAATCGAGGGATTGCTCGTTAACCGAAGTTAAGAATCTTATGGAAGGTATCTCGTTAACCGAGGCGCTTGTTAACCGAGGGACCACTGTATTAAAGTTTAATACTTTTTTTACAGTAAATAAAGACTGTCAGTGTATGTTCAAAGAATCATAGAATGCAATTGTAAACTAATGTATAATTTCATTTCTCATTTATTTGTGAATTTAATTAGGATTTTTTTGTGTCAATATATTTGGTTATGCTAAGTACTGCATAAGTTCATAACCGGGATGTCATCCAAGGTGTGTGTGCCAAACAAAATTTTCTAAAAACTTACTTTTCATTAAAGTTTAGAGTTTCCTGTTTATTAACATGACTAAGACCAACAATAAGTTATATAAAAATGCACTGGTATAATGTGTATGTGGTTGTTATTGCATATTTACATCTGATCTTGGCATGATGCTATTTGCTACCTATGCTATACAGTACTATAGTTTTTGGATTCGTTTAATACTTTCTGTCTTTTCGTGCAGTAAATAAAGATTATAAAGTGTATGTTGAAACTTGAATGTAAACTAATGTTTAATTTCATTTGTTCATTTAATTATTTGTGTACACCTCTATGTCTGAGCTACAAGACAACATATGAAAATTTCAGCTCTCTAGGTCTGTTTTTAAGGGTTTTAGAGCGCCCCCCCCCCCAAAAAAAGCTAAATTCATATAATAAAAGTTAGCGGTTAGCGTTAGCTTCCGCTAATTTTTTTAGCTGTTTAGCGTTGGCAAAGTTAACTTTTTAGTTAGCGGTTAGCAAAGCTAACTTTTCATTTAGCTGCCCACCACTGCTAAATAGTGTATAAATACAAACTTCATTAAGATTTTCTTAGATCTTAGAGCTTATAACCACTGTTTCCTTAATACTGTTGTGTCATCATAGATTTACTCTGTGTTTTGGTCACCTTTGTTTGATTTACGCGGTCAATTGAACCCACAGGGTACCGCGGAAAGTGAAAACCGTGTAAAGTGAACAACAGAACATATGGGATTAATTCCAATAGAGACTGGCCGACCCCCAAACTCCACTTTTTCCGACACAATACCTATGTTGTAGTAAAAATAACATCAAAATTTTATGATGGTATGCTCACACAATTAATATATAAGAGAAATACAGTCGCCAGTTTAATGTCCATTCAAATAATGGACTCAAATCTCTTCCCAGCTCACTAGCTCCTACCTCTCTGAGAATTGTTGGGTGAAAACACTAGATTTTAACGTTTAGTAATAAATAATACCTCAGACTAAAGTTAGGATAATATAATTGACATTTCTGGATTCCTTGCAGGTCAGGGAATATTTTGAATGTAAACTTAATATATTTTGCACAAAAGATAAAATATTTGCTTTGTGTAAACCAAATTATTACATTAGATCTAAAATTTATATGTTTAATGCAAAATCCATGATGTTTATATTCAAAATGATCATCATATTGTAAGAATTCCAGCACTGTAAATTATATTCTGGCCGGGTAATTTGTATGAATTTTATGAGCTAAATAAAAAAAAATAAAAATTATTCTTCACCGCGTATTGCACCGCGGAAAGTGAAAGTCCGGTTCTGGCAAGGTACCGCGTAAATGAGAAATTGTAAATGAGAAATCGTAAATGAGAAATTGCGGAAATTGAAACCGTGTAAAGCGAAACCATGTAAAGCGGGGTAATACTGTATACTGTATATATTGATGTGTAATTCAAGTTATGTCACATTATTTGACATACACTTGAAAAAATTTTTTGATTTAACTGACACTGCTGTTATGGAACAGTTTTTGTCATATATGTACTAATGAGTAATTACAATACATGAAAGGGAAATTGATTTTGCATTATGGAACAAAGGGCCAGCTATGATTGTGTCAGTAGTGAGGCAGGCAACACAGAGACCAGGGGCAGATTACTAATGGGGCTGTAGCCCCAGGCCCAGTAGAAAAATAGGCTCACAAAATTCCTTACAAATATATAAGCCCTTTCTCTAATAGGTCTCTTAGACTAGCACAAAATAGCCAGTCCAGTTGCCACAGGCGATAAAAAATCCTGGCAGGCAAGTTGAAAAATTAGAGAGCTTTTCCAGCTGGTGATCACTATTTTAGATCTCATTACTGTTTGTATTTTGCGCCGCTGATGTTTAAATTTACCGCCCTGGACAAAGAGTATTCCTGCCTTAGGGTTGGCAAATAGGAGAATACTTCTCGAGCTGTGATTGGTTCTTAATCTCAAGTCTGATGCTGTTGGCTAGAGTATGAAGGTTCGGAGCTTCTCAGTCGCGGGAAACGGGAGTTTGTTTACGTTCTTTCAGCTGAGAGTGAATGTCTTATTTTCAGATGATAAAATAGAAGTTTATAACTGATGAAACTTGCTAATGATTGTTTATATGTATATAAGAGATAGTAATAAATATGTAAACTAAAAATCAATTACTGCCATAATTTTATACATGTAAGTAAGCTAGTGTTATGATCAGTGATAATGTTGTCACTACATGGGTAACTGCATGTGTTTACAGTGTTTTGTGCCCTAATAAACAAGCTATAATGCTATAAAATATACAGACAAGCATATATTCCTACACATACTTGTATATCATATACATTCATGCAGAGTATATAGGCTAATATGTATGTATATACATATTAGCCTATATACTCTGACCTATACAAATAGCCTGAGATAGGCTCTCTGGACTTAATTAGTCCCAGGCCCACAAGACCCTTAATCTGGCCTTGACAGAGACCACCACAGTATGTATTTATACATAACATGAGGCAGGCAACACAGAGACTATCACAATATATTTTAGGTTACCTTTGTCTTGACTTTCCTTCAAGTTTTATTGATTTTAATATCCAGTTTCCTATCTTGCTTGCAATTAGCTTGAGGAGACTTTTAATAGGAAATGCTGAAGTGTATTGTTACGAAAATTATTAAGAAAAAATATAAAATAAACGTTGAAAATATGTTTAGTGTACACACCTGTTCCCATTTGTTGTGTGATATAGAGGAATTAATAAAGCAATCATGGTCATTGGATGAAATAGTTTGGGAAGGTTGTCCATTATATGTGGCCTCTCCTTCATGTACTGGGTGAACACAATCGGGTAAATGTATGAATAGAAAGGTGGTGTTTGATATTAGTTTTATTGTCATCTACAAAAATAAAGTCATTTTGTTATATACTTTACAGTGAACCTACTTATAACATTTAGTAGAATTTCAAAAAAAAAAAAATTTTTTGTTTGACTTGATGGTAACATAATGAGAAAACCCCTCAGTGACCCCTAGGGAAAGTTTCAGTTTGTCTTAGTTTCATGTTGAGAGCTACAGTAGGTTCACGGAAGTGCCTAACTCTTTGTACCCTTTGATCACTTCTTTTAATAAAGTTTAATCTGTCATGTGTATGAATACTGTATATTAGCAAAACATGAAATATTTGTGTTATATATGAAATATTGATTATTGTTTTTGTGTGTCATATGAGGGATAGAATATGTGTGATAAGTACCATGTTAATAACTTGCACAATTAAAGTTCTGTAATAACTTTGGAGTCATTAACGTAATAATACAGTAGTCATATACAGTACTGTACAGTATCTGTTTGCTGTTGCCGCACTGTCAGGCAGGTGGTTCTCTTCTAAACACCACAGTCGTACATATTCTATTCATTCATCCATACTTGAATCTCTCACTGTGTTCTTCCAGCTAATCTCTGATCATGTCTGTTGTCTATCTCTCCCATACCAATCTATACTCTACTAATAAATTATTAGTGTCACATCTCCTGTGAAGATATTTTTCGATTAACCCAGTTAACAAATCCCATTCAAAAAATATCTATAAATACTTTTATCTTTCAATTCTTTACCCCTTATTCCCTATACTTTGGTTTTCTTGCCACTATTTTTCTATGCTTGAATCCTGTTTTACTGTTCTTTCCTATGATCTTACTCTGTGTGTGTGATAATACCTTATCATAAACCATAAGCAGAGAACCTGTAACTTTCTGATGCATTAAAACTTAATTTTCACCAGGAAAAAATCATTTCCAAAAAGAAGGCCACCAAAAGTTTGGGTTGAGCAGCTACCCACAAGGAATATCCCAGAGGACCTAAACAGTTCTGGATATCCTGTTTAAGCAGCCAGCATCATTTGCTACGTACGTCTTCTAATCTTTGTTAAACTGCAGGTGCACACTCAACACTACAAGTACAAAACCACTAAGAATCGCGACGAGGAATTGAAAGCGGCTGTGGAGGCCACTGCCGGCGCTCTGGATCCCAGTGCTGAAGTGGTGGAAGACGAGGCGGAAAAGCTCTCTGACGAGGCCAATGAGTACAGGAACTGGTGTAAGCTGATGGAGCTCAATGCCATGAAGAACATTGGTGCCAACACTAACACCCCTCCTTCAGAGGAAAAGAAGAAAAATGGAACTTCCAGTTAGTGTTGGTTGTGGGTGTTAGGCAGTGATGTGAGTGTATGTGTGGAGAAGGAGCTTAATGGTGGTGTTAGTGGTGGAACACACAGCCATGACACAGTCCTCAGTCCAAGTTAGATATTAACGTGTGGCTCATCAACCCTCAGGAAGGGACTTCTCTTGTGTTCATTGTGACGGATGGAAAATATATCGTAAGGTGTTCCTTTCAGATACTGAGGCAGAAGTGAAAGTATTATAGAAAGAATGTATAGTGTTTAGTTGCACCCCTTTAGAGAGTATCAGAGAAAAGCTGTTAGAGGTACATAATATGTAGAAAAAATTCTTTCATCTGTTGGAAACAGGAAGAGCAATAATGTTAGTATTAATGTGGTAAGTTTAATACAGGGCAGTTAACTCATCTTTTGAAAGTCAAATTAGAATACAATAAGATTGTTATTCTGGTATAAGTGAAAAAAAAGGAAATTACTAACCGATAATCTTTATTTTAAATCATGATTCATATTGGTGTGATAAATATAAGTTGGTATATGAATCAAGTGTTCAGTGTGTGTACATATGGTGCAACAGAGAAGGCAAAGCTATCCAGGGATGATACAGAACTGATACTATCACTGGACAGTCTGCCTTTGTACCTCTGAGTGCCATAGAACTGTGATTGTGGTGCAGTACTCGGTGCATGGGTCCGTTGTGGACTTAAAAAACACTCATACTCAAGGCAGGGGTTGATGTTTTATACGGCATAGGAATCTCGGTAAGGTCCACCATGCTCGTCTCCAAGACAAATGTGTGGGTGACTTCATGTTTATAGCAGCTTCATATCACATGTTTGTACATAATGACAGTGTGTGAGTAGTTTATGTAAGTACGTGACCACCAGTGTTGTGCTTTGTTTGTCTAATTAATTATAGAGATTTAAAGTGTTCAAAGATAGGGACTCTAACTTAGATTTTTATTTGTACTTATGATTGTTTTCTACTACAACATAATTTGTGGTTATAGGCTATTTTTTTGTCTAAAATAGTTGTGAACTGAAAGCATTTACATAATATGCAGATTTTGTGTATCTGCATATAGCATTTATGAACAGCAGGTAATTTGCTTTTAGATATGTTGCCTCAGCTTATAGCTTCTATTATCTAATGCTAGAGACAAGTGTACAGGTGCAATGTAAGTATCTCGGTGCTGCGCTTCTTGGCTACTGTTGGTTACAGAGCAAACAGGGTGACTTATGTTAGGAGTTAAAGGTTTATCAGGTTAATTTTTATTTCTACACTATTTGATAAGGTATTTATTTGCTTAGCTGACAGTTACTGCAGTGTGCACATCCTGTCTTTGCTTCCTGTGAGGTGATGAATGATGGTGAATGTGCATGAGGTTTGTGATACAAATGATAACCTGATGTGAGTGGTGTTGTTGTAAGTGAGGTCGACAGGTATCCACTGATAGACATGATAGTGGCTGAAATATTAGTGTAAGCATTTTTAAGTGATATACATATTTTTTCCCTAAGAACTATTGAATGATCATTAAGATTAAAGAGTTTCTGATGATTGTTAGCGTTGCTTACCATATGGTTTGTAATATGTGTTCCTGTATGTGCAGGCACTGCTAACTTTGTTATGGTTAACAAGAGCTGTCCATGCAAGGGTATATCAATGTCTCTCTAAGAGTTTTGTTCATTATGATCTTCTGAACCAGGGTTTGCGCTAGATATTTTTCACAAAGGAAATTAATTTGAAAGTTTGAGTATTATACATTACCTTAAGTGTGGCAAGGATTAGTTTAATATATGTAATCTACTCTTAAAATTTCATTAAGAAGGATTCACTTCAAAGTACAGAATATGGAAATGTTAACATTTGAAATGAGTACCTGTACTTTATAGTTTTATTTGCTAAATTTATTAATTGTAGTTTGAGAATTGAAGGGAAAATCAAAATCAAACTTCAGCCTGCTAATGCCCCCCCCCCTTCCCCCCCCCTCCACACACACACACACATACATATTATAAATTTTTGGTTTGAAGTTTGTTTATTTACCTCCATTTACATAATCTGAGGCTGTTGGCAGTAGAGGATAATTTGAATTTGACTGTTAAGTAACAGAGTTATAGTTTTTCATTTAGCAACAGTATTATGCAGCTGCATACAGATAATTTTTGGACTGTGAGAAGATATTTATACTCAGAAGTTACAAAAAAACAAAAGGCAAAATATGATGTTTATCTTTTTTGTGTGTTTATAGTGTCCTTTCTAAGAATAAATCCCTTATTGTTGTAGCATGTTACGTATTCATAAAAAATGAGGAGCTTGAATAAAACATTATACTTCACACATTACAAAATGTGTTGCTTGTATTGAAGAATTGATGAACTTGATCATGTATTTTACAATGAAACCTGTAATTTCATCCATGATATTGAACAGTTCATAAAAACAACATGAGGCAGTAATGCCTTGATATTAGATCTTGTTGAATATCTTCCCTTATAATAAGTAAAGACAGTAGAATGACAGCAAAACCACCTCAGGTGTATTTTATGATTGAGATATGGTCCACTTGTTCATATTTTGATCCGTGTTCTGTTGAAAATTCAGGATTGTCAGAAAGTTCATAATTTAATTGTCTTCAGGAAAGAAAATTCTGGAACTTTTTCAGTTTTTCAGAAAAATTTTGAATGTTTTATGAACTCACAAAATATTTGTTTTGATTATAATTAAAAAAGAAATTTCTTTAGTCAGATGTAGAACAAAATATAAAAGGAGAGAAGTTTAAAATTCCTTTTTTTCAGTTTCGTTTCTAACATTATTATAAAAGCTTTTATTAAGAACATGGAGTAAGTTTTCACAAGTCACTTTGTTCTACAGTATGGTAGAAAAGAACTTATATAATGTTGATTTGATTGTTTGTGTGGTGAACACTTCAGATCGCTAAAGATTAGTGATGATCATTAAAACATGACAAAAAGATTCACCATTCTCGTAAGCTTTTCCTTGGTATGATGCAGTAAATCCAGACAGGTGCTGATACTGAATCTATCAATCGTTACATAATGGGTTACCATACTTTACCTATGTTAGTCTGCCAAAAGGTTGTTCCAACATTGGCAGTTGTTTCCAATAATGTACTTGACTCATGTTATTGTTTAATGTATAAAGCTAAGGCTCAAACCTGGGTTCTTTTGCTTACAAAGCAAATACTCTACTACTGAGCTATTGAGACAAAAAGTATAATGAAATAATATTGTCCACTGTTGCAAAGCGTAACATTACAGTCAATGAATTTCTCACCAAGAGACAGTAAGCTTTATGGGTCTTGGTAAGTTCCCATTGCAAATCGGTAATTACCTCTATGAATTTCTTTTACCTTTGCTCCTTTGAGTTTGCAAGAACTTTTTCACACATTGGAGCAAACAAAACATAATCATGGAATTTATTTTGTGCTGTATCTGTGTTACTCTTAGACAACTGGTTATAGTGAAAGTATAAGCTAAACTTTTGAGGATTACAGTTAAGGCACATTAGAAGTGAATGAATTGATGATCTTTCTCAAGTGTATAGACATACTGATATAGGTGGTGACTGTCTTGATGTAACTATCATATATCCAAAATTATTCAAGGGTAATGCACCTTGGTAGCAGTGTCCATATATGATCTCTTTCATGCACTCTATAGGCTTTCTAGAACACCTGATTGCAGTTATTGCCACGAATGGTGTTTGGGTGTAAAAGGGTATACAAAAAGAGATTGGAATTAAACTTCTCAGGGCAAGCTGTGTTTTTTTACGCTTTGAACTATAGATTTCGGTGAAAGTTCATGAAAAATGTCTCGATAAAAACAAAGAAGCTAGTTAGACTTGAATGTATGAGACAGTGTAAGTGCATCTGGATTGAGTAGACATACATGCCGACAACATAACTGCCTAAATGCTCAAATTTGGCTGGATCTCAAATATTTTTCAGATGTGCTTGAGTTTCCTATCTTAATCAACTTCAACTAAGTCAGCTCATTTTTTTTCGGGTTTATTTTCTCTTTGTGTACAGTATTTGCGTGATTTTGTTCCCGAATTAAAGTTATAGGCAAAATTTATTCTTACTTGATTTGGCAGCTTGTGGGACCAAGTCTTTTGTAAAATACATGAAAGGAGTTTTAGTGTTTGTCACTAGGACATTTCACTTAAGTTAAGCTTCTTTTTCTCTCTTCAATGAGAGTTAACTTTTCGCCACATACATTATATGGACGGATATTTGCCACTATAATAGGGAAATGTAGGCAAGTTTCTGTTTGTTTATCTATTTGTGTGTGTGTGTAAGTGTATTTGTATAGGTACAATACAGTCATGAGCCAAATTGTATCCTCGAGATGAAAGTGGAAGAAGTACTAGAGCTGCTGGTATATCCATTGACGCACTGTAATATCTCATTTGGATTTACTAAAGTATGTACTGTATCAGACAGGAGTGTAGACAGGCTGTTGTTCATGACTGTACAGTATAGTGTATATGTGGCCATACATGTGTGCAAGAAACAAAGGTTGTGCACAAGCAAAGAAAATAAAGGTGTCAGCTACCTGTTATTGAAGATTTTCTTGTTTATTATATCCAGGAACATATAATGCATTTGTATTTTGGTGCTAATGTGAAAAGATCCAAGATGTTAGCAGTATTGATGTCAACAGGTGTAGCTGAATTAACTAAACAGGGTAACACCAGTAATAAGTTGCTTAATGCCACTGCAGACATGATGCTCTTGTATCACCTTTGAAATATTTGTTAACACTTCATTGTCTTCAAATTATTCCACAAACAAGGGAAACACATAATTTAGCAATGATATAGAAATACACCAAGTCTACATACATTTTAACATGCTGCTGGGAACATACACATTAAAGTGGCATGTATCAGATGTCCCCAGAAATTCACTACTTTGCAATATTGTCTTCACCATCTCGTAAATAATTTCCTCAGTGCCATATGACAAGAACTTAGTGTTGGCATGAGATCTTATTCAAACAAAAAAAGTCTCCCAGTAAATTCATATACAGTATATATATTAATTACTACTTAACTTGATTGTAAGTACTGTACAGTACTGCCTTTGTCTTACTGTAGGGGTAGCCCATATTTGAGCTTTATTGCTAATTACTTTAATGATTAACTTCTTTTTTAACTTGCTACATTGTAAAGATATTTTGTGCAACTAGCGTGGACCCTGTATAGTGAGTGCTGGCCACATCTCCTTAACTGTGACTGCAGCTAAACTTGGCACTCTGTCTTATTGTACTTTGGTGCTATCTTTATAATTTATACACAGGTTGTGGCCTACAAGAAAAGAGTTTTATATGTGTAGGTTACCCAAAATAAGAATGCTGCTTTTATTGATAAATATCTTTACGTTTTTTTTTTTTTTTATTAGGTGAGAATACTGTAGTCTCTTGTGTGCGTTGCTGTCACTCATCAATGATAAAGTGGTTATTCTGGTCTGATTGATTTTCACTTTGTTGTCATTAATTTAAATTTTACATTTTGTGTTGAATTGTCAAAAATAATGAAGTACAGAATACAGTGATTGTGAATAGATCTGTAGCTTAAGAACTTAATCTGGACTACTCATTAAACGATTTACTGTATGTACTCTGATATTTGTTTTTACTTGACTTTATTGTATTTTTTAAGTTAATGTGAGACTTCCACTTTGTCACTAAGTGAAACTAAATGGCATGGCTGTAATTAGAGAAAGAGAAGCACTAATATTTTGCTGAATTTGGCATGCAAATGACCAAAAGTGTGATTCATCATCTCAAGTTTTTTGATCATTGGTTTATGTTTAATAATGAAAGTGTTGTGAGAGTTGATCCTTATATACTCCTGTACCATATAATTGGGCTTCCATATTTTGTTGAATGGAGAATTAACCAGATATCCAAGGTTGTTAATTTAGTGTTTTTGGTTGTAATAATCAGTAAATTATTGATTCTTTATTTTCCTGTCATTTGTATTTGTGGTGGGATTTTAATCAGCTGAACAAGCTGCATAAAATGTGAATGAATCAGACAATAGTTTCATTTGTGTAAGTGGATTTTTTTTTTTTTTTTTTCACTATTGTTGATACCACACAAGTGTGTGTGATGCTGGGAAACTTAACAAATTATTAGATGAAGAAAAAACTATTTTAAGATTTGGAGTGAAGGATCTTTTGAAGTCTTCCTACAATGTAATAATATCATGCATTGTCTCACTTCCAGGTATCGTTCTCCAAGGTACAGTAAGCTGTTTACACTTGAAATTTACTGATTTCTCATTTTGTTTATATTTGTGTAAGAAGCAGCTCTTCCTTACGTTTCTTTGACTAGATAATCAAGTTTGTAAACATCATTTTGGTGGTGAAGAGAAAACTGAATCCAATCTTGTTGAAAATATAATTGTTTAGAAATACAGTAATACATTGTTCAGTTTGATGGAGGTTTGTAATATACTGTACTGTACTGTGCTGTAGTTGCTTCAGGACATAAAACTTTTCTTTTTTAATATTTATATTTTTTCATCTTTTATTTATATGTGCATTTTTTGTGCCTGTCACTGTTAAGCTGTTATTTTATCTTTAGCTTTATTTGTTAAAAGCTAATTTTTTTTTTTTTTATCAATTAAAGTACCATATATGACTTTCAAGTCGACTTGTGTGAGTGTAAACTTGTCAAGTGGTTGTGCATGGCAGCTCTACAAAAGTACATTTGTTTCATGGCTGATTTTCTTACCTTTTTTTATATAATTTTGTTAATTTTTATATTAAGTTAACTTACAGTGGTTGTTTTATACATTGAATTATCACTTAGACATAACTAATTATAGACTAAATGTAGTAATTCTACATGAAGTATAAGTACAATTAATATTGTACTTTTCACAATCTGTACAATACTGTACTCTAGTGTAATTTATGTTCTTTAAAGGCCCACACTTTGACATTAAGATTCTAATGATTGTGTATTGTGCAATATACAAGTAGGATTATCAGAAGAATTGATATCCGAAAGTTAATTTTTTGACCTAGCTTGCTTGTTATGTTACCCTAAAGATTTGTTTCCTTCTTATTGAACCTAATGTGTGCTACTTGTGCTAATATGTATGCAATATTCATGAATGTTCTGTGATTTGTATTACTTTTTCTATGCGGTCTGAGTAGTATTTATGAAATATTTAAAACGGCTAGGGAGTATGTATAGTGCAAAACCCTGAATATGGACTCAAGATTTCTTCTGAATATGCAATGTACTTCCTCCATCCATTTGATGTATGGGGCTCAGCAACAGGTAGAAACTGCTGAAAACCTAAATGGCGTCTAGTGCTTGTAGCTCTATGTATCCCTCAACTCTGACATGAACAGGGACTATTACGCCTTGTATCCAGACTAAACTATCAGCTGATTTTTTTGGGTTACCAGTCTCGGTGCTGACACTGGACACAATTGTTTCTTGGTACAAGTGGCCATGGGGGGAACCATGCTTTACAACCATCGACTGGGATCTTTGTTCAGGGTCTTTTTTTTTTTTTTTTTTTTTTTTTTTTGTCATTTTGTTAGGTCTTGAAGCTCGGGGGATGGATGGGAAGCTACTAACTCAAAAGATCTCAAAATGCATGATTTTACACTCTAATTACCTGTGAAAGCTGCTGAATTGTAGAGTATTTGAAGTAGTGAGTATGATTGCATATGTGTGTGTCTGTGCTTATGTGTGTGTGTGTGTCTGTCTGTCTGTCTGTCTGTAAATGTGTGTGTGTGTTTGTGTACATGTAGTAAGATCTGTGGGGTGAGGAAGATATTCAGTAAAGTTCGATGCATACTGTGTAGTATTTTTGTATATGAAGATTCGCCTACTAGTTTGTGACAAGTGTATTGATTTGTTGCATTGTTCCAGTTAGCAAGTCGAGCTCTACACAGTGCTGCCTTGGGTGGAACTCATCAATTGGTTGTTTTTTTTGTATTGATTCACAAGCAGAATAAAAACGTAAAGGGTTCTGTGATAGTGTGGAAGCACAAAGGGATATTTTCAGTGGTTTGGATTCAAAACTGTGATATTAGTCTATATTTATTTAATCTCCATTTGTGTTCATGTTTCCCTCCATAATGGCTGGGATCCAGTTTGCAAAGTTGCCAGCTTGGTTGTTTGCGTTGATCCACCCGACCACACCTCTGTGTAGCGCCCCATGGAGCTCTGGGAATCCCCTGTAGCAATGTACATTCAAGTCCAGACTGTTTTTGTACCTGCGTATGAAAATAAAGCTGCTGTCAACTGCTGAGTCCTTCATTGTCTTGATCCTTTCATTTCAAGTCTATAAAAATATCTAATCATTGAAAATGTAAGAGAAACAGTAAGAGAAAACCTCTACAGAATATTGTACTCAACCTTGATATGCATTTAATTTATTATTTTTCCAGGTGTTTTAACCTGTAGAAATATTTTTATATCTGTATGTACAGTATAATACTTTGTGTCCTTATCCCGTGAAGATTCATATGGAGTAAGATTGGTAGAGAGGCACAATGACTAAGAAACAGATTGTCAGGCTTACATTGGATGATTTGAGTGAAATTGATCACAGTTTTCTCGGGCAACTTTAGAGCAGACAGAAAAGATTGCACATAAAAGGGTAGAAATTTAACTGGTAACTTATTTGGAGAAAGAATAAAAGAAGCTAGGGATATGTTACATGTAGCGTCTAGTAATTTTGGGGAATATATGAGACCACCAGCCAGCTACAGTATTAATATTTTACAATGTGTAGAAGGTCACTGCAAAAAATGAAAAGTTAATTAGTATGAAATTAAGTTACCCGGTAATACAGTAAGGATGAAGAAAATATATTTTGAATTATGGAGGTAATATGGGAGTACAGTACAGTACTGTATATTATGATAATGAAATGATATAGGAAAGTTTCATGAGTAAGATTGATAGGTGTAAAAAAGGTATGAAAATAGAAGGAACAAACTGAGATGTTATAAATCATACGAAGATGCGACACTTTTCTTTGAACAACATGGTGAGCAAACCCCCAGATTATAACCATGTTGAAAGAAAAAAGTCCATTTCCATTTCTTAAATGGTACAAGTTGATGACCTTGGCTGGATTTACTAAAGTATTGCAGAATGTATGTAAATTGGCTGGATTTGTTGAAGTAATTCATTTAACTATGTGTTGGAAAAATGACTTTGAACTAGATGAGATGTCAATACCAAAACTATACAATGATGAGAAACGCAATCTTACCGCAAGCAGCAATGAGTAGGATGACACATAAACAAACATTATATTAGGCGGTAAATCATGTCATGTTTATTGGGTGTACCTGCCCGTATACAGTATATAGAGTATTGAGATGGTGGAGATGAGAGGCCCAGAAGGAGGTTGGAGCGTGTGAAGGGAGTTTGTTAATGTATAATTATAATCACCTGACCAGCCAGGGGGCCAGGCTATAGGGTGGGCATTTCAGTATAGCTACCCATATCTTAGAGTCAACACCTACCCTGGCTTCTCTCTGGACTTTCAACACGTAAGTTTAACGAGTACTTATTGTGTACACAGGTAGACTGTGTCCATTGCATCATTTATCAGTGAGACAGTATAGAAATATGGCAAATTGAGTACTCATTGTAAGTGTTAAGATTAGACTAATTACATAAGATTGTTATGTAAATATATATTGGATTAAACATTTATGTAGGAGTGCCTATGTATGACATATTTGAAATACTAAATGAATTGTATTCAACAGGTTTGACCGAATTATAATGTTCGAGTTTGACGTGACGAATCTGAATATTCCTTTAACCCCCCTCATTGGCGGTTACAGTCAAACATGTATGTCTACTGTGTAGCAGTGTGTTAGCTTCAATCAACGCGCGGGCAGCAGAGTAACCAAGGTTAACTCAACTCAACCCACTGGAGGGATGCGCGTGAGTGTGTGCGTGCGCGCGTGTTCCCTGTGCCACGGATTACAATGCAACGCCCGTAGATTTATAGTGCCGATAATATTTGAACCTTTTGTTATTGAAGAAAATAATGTTGTCAGAGTGAGCTCAGCCACTCTTAGTGTAACTTGGCTCACCAACACGCGTCATTCGAGGGACGAGTGTATGCGTGTGGGTGTGTATGTGTGTGTGTATCCAGTGGCGAGAATTGCAGTGCAACGTCCGTATACTTCTCGCATCGATAATAGTTAAACCTTGTTAGTCCAGAAAATAGTCTTGTCTGGGTGATCTTCATCACTCCCAGTGTAGTGCATATGAGAATGAAAACACTTGTCATCATTGTTGTCTGACGTAAGTGCAGAACACAATTAGCAGTCATAGTTGACTGAAGTGATATTGCTTTGTAAATAACCCAAATATCAATGTAAAGTTTGTAATGATATCACGTGCGAGTGTAAGACGAGGCACACGAACGTGCCCTGATAAATGAGTACAAGTCAAGGCACACGAACGTGCCCTGATAATTTTAGTGAGACGAGGCACACAAACGTGCCCTGATAATTTTAGTGAGACGAGGCACACGAACGTGCCCTGATTTAAGAGTGGTGGAAATGAACGCAATTCAAATTACCTGAATAAGCAAGATGTTGGAGATTGGGTATATTGATGACATGGAAGGAGAGTCAGACCTAGATGGAAGCAAACATTTTGATCTAATGACAATGGATCCTCCCGCCGAGGTACAATCAGAGAGTGGTGAAACAGGAAATGAGCTTGCAATACCAGGAGATCCACGAGAAGGTCACAGTAGGGAATTGCATTATCAACAAGCAGTGGCCAGAGCTGAGGCAGCGTCGGATGAAGTAAACCGAGCCCTGTGAGAGCTTAAGGCAGGGTGGATGAAAAGGATGCACACTGTAATAGTGGCGGGTCAAGAGACATCAGCACTAACACGAAGAAGTGACAGCTCACAGCTTTCGACAAGAAACTCCAGCAATTATGAGAAGCCAATAGTACGGGAAGAAACCCAGCAACAGGCATCGGTCGATGTCGAGAAAATGGCATCGTCCTTACCGCCAATGCTTGCAAACAAAGCGCCTCAAGTCACAATTTTGCATCCACAGGGAGAATCAGGGAAGGGTGAAGAAATAAGAGAGTTGGTGGCTACGATGCGCATGCTGCAAGCCACCCTTCCCAAGTTTAAAGGACAAGGTTGGGCGGAGTTTTGGACCTTTATGCATGCCTTCCGTCGATACATGACAAATGCGGCCGTGCCAGAGAAGTACAATTACCAACTGCTCATGGGTGCTTGTGAAGGAGAAGAGCTACATCAAGCAATCATGGGATGCGACTATCTAGAGCCAGACCGAGCCTACAACAAGGCAATCAAGATCCTGGAGGCAAGGTTTGTAGATAAGCATGCATATGCGGAGCAGCTGGTGAAAAGGCTCATAGACACTCGCTCAGTGGGGGCGTTCGACGACGAAGGGCTGCGAAAACTAGCATCTCAGCTATGGGGTGCAGTAAGCCATCTGGAGAATCTGACCTTGATGTCTCAACTTGAATCAAGGCAGACCTTCAGAACGCTGGTGATTAAACTTCCCCCCAATTTGAGGGAACGCTGTGTGGATGATGTACGGAATTATCAGAAGTCGACAGGACACAGAACGGGGCTGATGTTTGGAGGAGAAAGCGGTAACGATGGATGACATGGCTCTGCTATCATGCGAGGACAGTCAAGAAGGAAGTAAGAAAAGACCAGAAGGATCATCGTCAAGCAAACGTGCCGTGGGCCTAGTGACTATCAGTGAAGCGAAAGGCATTGGAGGAGAAACAAGCTCTGCAAAAAGGCTTGTGCCCAGTGTGTTCCAGAGCACATGGATTAGCAGGGTACGACAAATTCCGGAGCATGATCAATGAGGGAGAGGTTAGCGAGGGGAAAAAGATTACGTTGCTGTTTCTTGTGTCTGAGAGTGGGCCACCTTGTTGCTGACTGTTGCATCAAGAACGAAAGGAGGCACTTACTGCAAGTATGTCAAACACAAGCAAAGGTGGTGTAAAGCGAAATTGTCAAGGTCTCGTGAAACAGGAGTCAATGGCAGGCACTACTGATGGTGGCATGGCCCAGAAAGCCAACGACAGTTCGTACATGGCCGGAAAAAGAGGCCATGTCTATGCTACAGGGACAAAGGACTGCCATGAAAACCTATACAGCTGCGAAAGCGACATCTGACTATCTACGAAAAATGCCCAAAGTGAGTGTGAAGATTCGGGAAAAGGACTCACACCAACGAAATCACATCAGAACTTTAGCTCTCTTGGACTCGGGCAGCAACAGGTCGTATTGCACCAAAGATCTGGCACAGATACTAAGGGTGAAAGGGACACCTACCCTGGTAACCATGGGTACACTTGCCCAAGAGATGATACTCGAGTCAGTGGAGGTAGATCTAGAAGTGGTTGGCGCAGGCATGAAACGAGGCAGAATCATACTTATGCCGAAAGTACTCATTATACAAAATTTCCCCACAATGATGCACAACTCCGTAGTGAACACAAGTGATATCTCAAGGTGGACCCATCTGCGAGGTGTGGAATTACCAAAATTGCAGAGCAACAGCATAGAAATTCTGATAGAACAAGATGTGCCACAGGCCCTGGTACCCTTGGAGGTCAGAGCAGGAAGGGATGGAATGCCATTCGCCATAAAAACGCGACTGGGTTGGACAGTGAATGGACTGGTGGGGCACCAAGACGCACAAGGAGCTTGCATGTCAGGATGCCTGATGACCGAAACTGTCGTGAGTCCTGAAACCCATCTGGAAACACAAGTTAAGCTGTTTTGGGAGCTGGAAAGTGGGGACACAGGAGCCTTGCAGTCAGCAGCTCATACACTTGAGGACAAAAGAGTGTTGAGGCTATGGTCAGAGACAGGCATGAAAACTAATGGTCAATACCAATTTCCCATACCGTTCCATAATGAAAACATTGAACTCCCAAACAACAAGGCCGTGGCGGAGTAGGGTGTGTCATAGGAGGGAAGATCAGCTAAAACTAATGGCCCATCACTTTTATGGTAGATTTTAGTGTATATGAACAGAAAATAATTTCAGTTTCAATATTTTGCAACCTTTTGCTAGGTAAATTTTAGCGTGAAATTTATCGAAAATCTAACGTACAGCTGCATTAGTGCATTACAATTAAATAGTGAACATTGCTTTCTGACTTCATTCTTTAACAACCCAACTAACAATATTTTTTTCTGTTTCAGATTCTGATGCATTTATAAGTTGATAATATTTGCGATGGCTGCTTGTATCAG